TCATCACTTAGGGAAATACGTCATCACGTAGGGAAATACGTCATCACGCAGCTGTACGTAATGACTTTATCTTGTCACGTGGGTGGAAGCATTTGCTTGTCAAGCAGAAACCCTCCCCCTTTCACCGTGAGCTTCTGTACACCACAACTCCACCTGTTTTCCGTAAAAAACCAAAGCGGGAGTGATTTAAATATGAAAAATATAAAGATTATATGAGGAATAAAAGAAATAAAACTACAAATGGCTCGTTACTGCTCGCGATTCGGCTCCTATTGTTCGTTGTAAAGAGCCGTTCAAAAGATTCGGATCGTTTGCGAACATCACAGCTCTAGTTAGCATTGGAGAGGCTAGTGACTAGCATGGACAAGCTGTGTTAGCACTGGAAAGGCTAGTGACTAGCATGGATCAGCTGGTGTTAGCACTGGAGAGGCTAGTGACTGGCATGGATAAGCTGATGTTAGCACTGGAGAGGCTAGTGACTAGCATGGATAAGCTGGTGTTAGCACTGGAGAGGCTAGTGACTAGCATGGATAAGCTGGTGTTAGCATTGGAGAGGCTAGTGACTATAGGCTGCTCACCTGCTTTGTTAGACACTAACGTTTTTGAATAAAGAAAACTTTCTCAACAACAATGTTTGAAATGTAAAACCTATAAGCTCCGTGCACTGACAGGTGTTACTTAGACAAAATTTAATGTTCAACATGATGTCAAGCGTAAACATTAAACAAATTACTGTGAAGCAGACAGCTTTAGTTACCACCTGAATTAGCAGCTGCGTTTGTCCTTGTCTATTGGCGGCGGGTTTTTTTTTCTCTAGCCAAATTATGAGAAAAACCAGAACTATCAAGTTGGGCCTTTTAGRAAAAGTTTAGTTTATAGAGAAAGCTTTCTTTATTCAAAAAAGTTGCTGTCTAATAAAGTAGGTGAAGCATGCTAGTCACTAGCCTCTCCAATGYTAAYGCCAACTAGGTGTATCATTAATCAGATCTATAGCTGGCTGAGGAGAGAAAKGCTTGCTACAACCACTGGTTGCACAAYAGTCTTAATTTTGGTCCTTATTCTGCACCATAAACCTTTGCTAGCAGGTGTGAATGCAGCGCTGCTAACTGGCAGAGAACAAGAGGCTGGTGGAACCACGTGTAGCAGAAACTTTGTGACTCAGCGTAAGTGCGGGCAGATTTACAGCAGCTCTGGGATCATGATTCAGATATGTGTGTGTGTGTGTCATCAGTCCATTTCACACACAGTTTGAACATAAATACAGGGTGTATGATCACTGTTGTTTCATGAACGTTTTTTATTATTAGTTAGGGAATCTGGATGAACAAGCTCTTCTTTTTTTTTTTTTGTCTCTTTAGCGGTTTCAGCAGAATTATATTTGCTCCTTCCTGGGCTGTCAGTGCACATGTGAAGACTGACATGAGTTTAGGTTTTAGTTTGAGTTTAGGTTTTAGTTTGAGTTTAGGAGGGAGCCTAATGCAAGTCTGAGCAGCACGAGTGGGCGTGCTTCAGAGAAAGCAGGACTGGAAATAAAAAACAAACATGAGAAAACGGTTGAGAAGTTATAAACTCACGTCTCAATGAAGGGTAAAAATCTAGAGAGAGATATCTGAAARGCCTCGTGTGAGTGCTCATTGATGACAGTTACAACAAAATGTCCTGCTGAGAGCTTTGAGYGCAGCATTCGCTGTGGAGCTACAAGCCTCTGCAGGTCCGGTCCTGCTCCCATTATCTGCAGCGCTGTTTGTCCACACCCTGAGGCCAATGTACTGAAGGATTACAGAAAGGGAAGGCCAGGGAGGGAGGGAGACGTCACACAAAGACGGGTCGAGCCAGGCCGGGCAGAATGTGTTGAAACAGCCCCCCCCC